CTTAACCTGTAAGCAGGCTAAGACTTAGTCATTTGAAATATTTGCATGCATAATTTCAGACGTAATGTTTTAGTTTTATCAAATGTCAGCGCTGGCTTTATAGCTACTAAGTTATGCTATTTTGTGTCTACGACAAACGCGTACATGTATTTTTCATGTATCATGACGTTATTTTGCGATTTTCGATTAAGAACATAAACCAGTGCCAACGCTCTTTGTGTAGTAGCCAGTTAGTTCGATGCTATTTTGTGTAAGACAAACGTGTATAAATTAAAAAAAAATATATAGGCAAATTACCATTCAGAAACTTTTTGTAAGAGCCGTGTGTGGTGAGGTTCTGCTTGACTCTCTTCATCGCCACTTTCTGGGTCTGATTCTGGCTCCTGATACTGCAGTGTCGACACCATTATGTACATTTGACATGAACACATATGCAACTTCGCCCGTAAAGGTAATGGGCGTGACGTTTCCGGACTACACAGTTTAGCCAATCACAACACACTGGCCAAAACTAACCAATCTGAGCCCATTGCCTGTTTCTGAGGGAGTGGTTTCATAGAATCAGGATGTAAACCGTTCGTTCAAATGGCAGAGGAGAAAGCGGCTTACAATAAAGGTGAAATTAACGAAAAATAAGACTTTTTTAAAAAAAAAAAAAGAAGAAAAAAACACGAATACATGTTATATTGCACCCCATAAACACAATCATGCAAAGAAAAAAAGCAGTAACCCCTTTAAAATTAAATTAGGTGAGTATAATTGTGTGCAGTTTGGTACTAGACTTTTAATATTATTTTAAAAAGGCCTACATTTATTAAGAATCACAACTGTCCTTTATTTTTCACTGGGTTACTGCATTCTCTCTCGGATAGGTGCTCCGATTTGTTCTGACTATTAAATAAACAATGAAGCTTCAAAAACTCTCAAACGCATGGTCTGAAATATTCATCAGCTTTGTTAACAAAGAGCGAGCGGTAGAGCGAACAGTTTTATAAACTCAGCAACAGAGCCAAGAATAATAGATAAGAACCCAACACAATATTTCAGTGCTTATTTCTCCATTTCCAACAAGCAAAATGATAAATTAATCAGAATCACACATTCCACATGACGATAGTATAATTATCTTTATCCCTCTTTTTTTTTTTTTGTTTCTCCAGTCTCCACAGGCTTTCGGAAAACCACAGGCTTGCCGTAAGGAATGCGAGAACCCTGTGTGCCGGATACATCGCGGGAGGAAATCACAGAAAAACACTGCACAACTGATGATACAACCACAAATTCCTCAAATACTCAGATCTCAGCTGGAGAAGAGGCAAATTTATACAGTTATGATAATGCTGCTTGAAATGGTATGTGGTTTCACGCCAGTTTTAGAGGACTGTAGAGGACATGTGTCCTGTGTCCACTGGGAGCCTGGAAGACACATTAGTCAGTTTGAGTCATATCTGCAAACGTGCACTTTCTGGGATCAAGAGTGGACTGACCTACAACAGTGTCTGCATTATGGCCCATGCACAGCTATATTGTGACTAAATAGTATTGTTGACATTAATTTTATGCAACTGTCACATGCAACAGAAGTTATGTGATCCGTGATAGTTTTTTTCACGACTTGACGACAGAACCGAAAGACAATACAATGCTGAATAAAGTCGTAGTATTTGTTATTTTGTGGCCAAAATGTATTTTAGATGCTCCAAAACATTCCAACTAACCCACTGGTGTCGCATGGACTACTGTGATGATGTCTTTATTTCCTTTCTGGACAAGGACAGTATATCGTACATACATTTTCAATGGAAGGACAGAAAACTTTCGGACTAAATCTAAAATATCTTAAACTGTGTTACGACAATGAACAGAGGTTTAACGTGCTTGGAACGTCATGATGGTGAGACATTAGAGACATCATTTTCATTTTTGGGTGAACTAGCCCTTTAACAAAGCTCTTCAGTGTAGCTGTGCATCATTAGTTTTGAATGATAACATGTAATGGGCAAATGAGTGGAATTAATGTTAATCATAAATATAATGAAAACCTGAGCACTTTATTCGACTATTCCTTTCCTTCCTTCTGGGCCTGACACCGTGTCCTAACTACACGCGACGCGACGCCGCGACACGCAATAAAAGGTATCTTTTCCATGTTAATCAGAGTTTTTGTCCTAACCAGGCGCGACGGCGACACGCGAAGTTTCTAATTTAGAAACGGTTCCTATTTCTGCGACGTCGTGGCTGACAGAATGAAGAAATTACACTGGTTATGAGTACACATTATTTATTTTTAGTTAAAAATAGGTCACTGTGCCACAAGCGATAACGGATAATTTACCTCAGATTTTGAAAGCATGTAATATAGCGTTCAAAATGAATGAAAAGTGCGGGCCAACAGTGTGCTTTCACAGAGAGACTCTGCTCACACCATAGGCTCACACGCTGTTCTGAATGTGTGGCATCTCACAGTCACGTCGCGTCTAGTGTGGACAGACACACTTGCTGTCGCTGGAATTTTATCGCGTCGCGTGTAGTTAGGACACGGTGTGAGACGAGAGTTCAAGAGATTTCCACGACTCATGCGCGAGAATTGCGTTCTTATTCTACGACTTCTTGTTCAGTTCTCAGTCTCTCATCTCAGGCCTACAAGGAAGAAAAGGAATAGTCGAATAAAGTCGTCATTTTTGTTTTATGTCCATACAAAAAGTATTCTCGTCGCTTGATAAACTTATACTTGAGCCACTGTAGTCACATGGAATATTTAAACATTTCCTTCAATGACTTTCTGGGCCATCAAGTTTCGATCCCTTAGGCAGCCTATATAGCAGTGATCCACCTCTCAAATTTAATCAAAAATATCTTCATTTGTGTTCCAAAGATGAACGAAGGTCGTACGGGATTGGTACAGCATGGGGGTGAGTAATTAATTACTTATTTTTCATTTTCAAAGCACATCAAACTGGTTGTGTGTTAAAGTTCCAGCTTATTTGAGTGTTTACACTGTAATAGCTAAAATTAGCCAAGTAGTAAATAAGGGATGATTATAAAACATTTCAGATCACAGTCCAGCCCAACACATGGTAGCCGGGCAAAAACAGCTTTACTTTCATTAAGTCAGCAGCCAACACTGATAAAATATGCAAAATCAGAGCCAAGTTGCAAAACTGTGTCCCAATTCAATCCTGACATCTTCCAAAAGACTGAGGAAAATTCACATAAATGCTACCACAATGTCATATTGTCATGGAAATTCTGTTATTTTGTACATAGACTTTCAGTCTGTTATTTTCAGTCATATGAGTTCCTTTGTTTAGTTTCCCGCCACTTATTAGTTACTATGGAGATTCACTGATCATCACAGTTGTTCATTCATTTGCTTTGTATTTAAGGTGCAGTCTTCAGTGTTCATTTTTCCAGTCACATAATAACCACAAAGTTATAATTGAAATTTATAATATATTTTTCCAAACCAAAATGAAATAAAACGTAATTATAATTTCCAAACACATAAGTAGCAGCTCATTTAAACTGACTATTATTAGCAAAGACACTCATTAATACAGACAACACCCAGCTGAGCCTAATCTATCCGATTTGAATCTTTCTCAAATGCTCTTTCTATACGTCGCCGTCTCTTTCAGTCAATCCGCTCCACCTTTGACCTGTCACGGCACGAAGCAGAACATCTCTGTTAATAGATGCTCTTGTACGGTTAAAGAGCTCCAGCGATTACCACTACAGGAGGGCATTCTGGAGAGAAAAGATCACTTTCTGCTTGTCTTGGCCGTGGCAGGAGGTACGGAATAGAGAAAGCGGTATTACTCAAGACTTTAGCACTGATAAATGAGTTCACCCATCAGCCCAGAAACAGTCATTTCCCCTTTCTTGCACTCCCCATGTGGTTGTCACTGCCATCCCCGGGCCATGCCCCCGACTCAGACAGAAAGGCCTTCTTGTCGAACCCAGAGCAAAAAAAAAAAAAAAAAAACGGACCCTGTGTTTGTTTTCTGGCACGATGCGGTTCATTTAGGACTTGTTTACTTGTAAAATGATCATTAAAAAGGTTTATAAAGGATTAAATTGTTTATTTTCTTCCTTTAGGAAATTAACAAAACAGAAATAAAGAAATGAGTGTGTGTGACTATATGACCTACTGACCTTGACTTCCTTCACAGGACACCACATGCACTATTGAACAAATGAGAGGAGATGAGAAATCCTGATGGCAGAGGAGGTCTGACCTTGAAAACACACACACACACACACACACACACACACGTGCACGCTTCAGGCGGTGAGGTTATCTGAGGTCACGCTCTATTGTGTGTGTGAGGAGCTCATTCCCTTTCTAATCTGATGTGAGACAGGTTGACCTCAGAGAAAAGCAGTCCCACGATGAATCTCATAACAACTGGCTGCGTGACTCTTGTTCAGATGTGAAGTCATGGGATATGAGATATAACTGCCTAGAGTGTGTATGTGCACATTTAAGTGTGATTACGAGGCTGTGATAGAGATATAGGGTCAGACTGTTTCATCTATATTACATCACAGATATTGAACTAGTGTTTAACCCCTTAAATGGTTTTTTGTATCCGGAGGGATACAGACACTTGAAAGCATGGGGGAGGAACAGTGAGTGAGTAAGATCAATTTCTGTCACCAAAAAAAAAAAAATGAATTCTGTCATTTAATCGACACATATACTCTTTTCATGTGCTTTTTCATACCAAATCAAAAGACTGGGATTATAGTGCATATTACTGGGTCTTATAGACCCTTTATGACTTTTTCTTTTTTGTCTTTTTGGAGCTTGACCATGGTCACCATAAACTGGCATTGTATGGAAATAGAAGCCTGGATATTCTGCAAAATCTCCCTTTGTTTTCACACGAAGAAAAAAAAAATCATACATAGTTTGACTATGAGTAACATGAAGAGAAGAAGATAGAAATATTTTTAACTATCTTTAAATAACAAATTGTCTTTTCTCCATTGCACAGTTAAGTAGAAATAAAAAAAAGTTTATTTCAACACCATGGTCATTTTAAATAACGTCATATGCCATAAACAAATGACCTACTATAAGACAAATTGCAAAAATACAAAAATAATGTATTTTACTCAGTGAAATTTAAATGCTTGGTTAAAACTGTAATCTCAAAAGAGAATTCTATGTAAATAATGCTAAAGCATGCACAATCTCATGTACAAATAATATAAATATTTACATACATTCAACATGAATGCATTTTTATTCTTGGTTAAAATTAAAGCGCAAAGAACTGGTGCCATGTTTGTAAAAACATTATTCCAGGCGTTTATAGACTGAACAATCCTGTTGTAGAGCATTGTTCATAGGTTTATAGCTATATGATTTTAGTATACAATACATTGCCCCATTGATTCTGACTTGAGTGTTAAAGCAAGACACTAGAGGGAAAAAGTATCATAATTTTAACTAATAAATAACACTTTACTTCCCATGTTGATTAAGTACATGGAGACAATTGTTTTCTGAAAATGTTGTTTTTATATGTAAATGATGTATTGTCTAGTATTGTCTAATTAATTACGCAATAATTTTCATAATAATTAGGATAAAGCCAGGTTCAAAGTCCATTTACATATTAAAATTAAACGTTGTGCATAGGGGTTTTTAGATATCTCTTATCACTCCATAAATCAGAAAATACTGTTAACTGCCAAAAAAAAAATAATAATAATAATAAAATATATAAATCAGGTGAATGCTAAACAAACCCCACTGTAAAAGCCTTCTGAATATAGATAGAGATAAAATTGGAAAGTTTTGTTCATGACTACTACTTACATTTACACTTACATTTACAAAGTTGAGATTTTTGGCTCACTGCATAAAAAAAAAAAAATTTAAAAATGCATTGTTTTATATTTTCTTTCTATTAGTCTGAAAGAAGAATAGTTAGCCCAACACATCAAAATTGACCAGTGCCTGAAAAAAAAGTTGCCTGTAGTGTCTTGCCTTAAAGATCAGCCAAGATGACTGCTCACATAGGTATTTTGGTATTTCTAAACGGTAAAGAATCAGTGGGTCATATCTGAGGCATCAGTTACAATGAATGTTTAATGTTTAACGGTAAGATTGATGTTTCTGGGGGACTTTTTGCTTTGCATAAACAGACTGGTCAGGTGATAGTTCATTTCTGTATTTGTATTTAGTTTTGAGATTGTTTGAGTTCATTTAATCCACATTCAGTGGCTTCCAGGGCACTGTGACCCTTCTAACCTCACACTCGAATCCACGCATCATTGGCACCCCTAGTGGTGGCGTCGGTTCCTGCTCTTGCGGAGCTCTTGGACATGCTTCCATTTGCCCTTCTGTTTTTGCTTCTTCTCTTTGTGCCAGACTGTTTCACAGTACTCGTCTAGAGAGTGCGCAGGGCCGCTCAACATGCGCAAATAGTCCTTATAGCGCTGGCGGGGTTCGGTCACGGAAGGGTTTTCTGATGAGTCCCGTATAGCAGGTTGGTGTCCGTTGAGCTGTCCGGGGTCCAGGACGTGCAGAGATAGGTGGAGGAGGTTACGGGTGAAGCTGTGCTCCTGGGAGGTGCAGAAGTAGGAACCTGCATCGCTACGCTGGAGCCAACGAATCAGCAAACCTCTCTCGGTTATCAGCACGCGCTCGTCTGGTTTGATCTGCAACAAACACAATTATTAAGACTATTTCCTAAAAGTCAACCATATATCAATATACGTTCTTGAAAACACTCCAAATTAATCACAGCCAAACAGTGAATTTATGTGTCACTTGCTGGGTTTATTCACATAAATCATTCTGCCAAGGAACCCACGACAAGACTCCCTCAAGGTCAGAGATCAGTCTTTAACCTTTGCGCTCCACTTCCTGCTGACCTCACGTTATACCATCTGATTGGTCATTAGAGTCGTATTAGACAAGCTGACCACATGGTAATGCTAACGAGAGAGAAAATATGAACAAAAAGAGGGGTAGAGAAGGTCTTGAGAAATGACACGGTCAGCTTTCATGTTTGCGTGATCTGTTGCACTGATCTATATGCTAGGTGTCTATCACCTCTGACATACAAAGTGCTCTGTATTATTCAGTGCATTTAAATAGGACTCAATTAACTGATTCAAAAAAAATATTACAAAAAAATATATATATATATATATATTTATATATATATATATATGAGTGGCTTCCTTCACGGCGACGGCTTCGTTGTCCATGTTGTAGGACACAAAGGAGGAAGGCAATCTTTGTTCCCAGAGCAGTGCAGCTTTTTAATTCTCAACCCTTTTAAGCTTCTTGTTGATTATGTCTTGATTTAGATATTTTTTAATATATATTAGGTATTCATTAATATGTATTTTATGTACACTGTGTTATTTATTTAATGTAGTATGTTATAATGTATATTGTTTTCGTTACGATATGTGGCCTCACTAATTGCCCCATGGGGACAAATAAAGTTTTTTGAAATTGAAATTTGAAATTGAAATATATATTAGGGCTGTCAAACGATTAATCGCGATTAATCGCATCCAAAATAAAAGTTTGTGTTTACATAATATATGTGGATGCACTGTGTATATATATATATATATATATATATATATATACAACGTATATATATAAATACACAGACATGCTTGTATATATTTAAGAAATATTTTCATGTATATACTGTATATAGATTTATATATAATTTATATTATATATAAATATAAATATTTTATATATAAATAATATTTTTTTTTCTTAAATATACACACATGTGTGTGTATGTATATATATATATATATATATACACAATAATTATACACAGTGCACCCACATATATTATATAAACACAAACTTTTATTTTGGATGCGATTAATCGTGATTAATCGTTTGACAGCCCTAATATATATATATATATATATATATATATAAAATGATAGAATTGTATAAATCAGGCTTCAGTTTTTTAGTTGTATAAATTTGGATGTACAAATTTGATGCTGTCATTCAAAATATTACCTTGATGTGTCAGATGAATTTTCATAGATTTTGTTTTAGTCAAGTAACTAATAAAAAACTATTCAAAATAACAATTTATTCACAAATCAATCATCTCCACCAGCTTTAGTCATGCTAATATTTCTTTCTCCAATATCAGTTTCTCTATCCATTCTCCTACCTTCCTTCCGTTCCTATCTGCCTATTCTTTCTCTCACTTTCATTTTTGTTTTTCTGTTATCTGTGTTTTTGAGGCTGCAGTACTAAATCAATGCAGCTGTGCAGTACGGAGAGGAGGGGAAAAAAAGCTTCAAAGCATACCGAATGCCTGTAAAACACACAAACTGCTTACCGCCGCATTGACTTATGCTAATCTATCTGCCATCTAAAAGATGCTTCAAGGAAATGCAATAGTCATGATTGCACAAAACAACTCTAGATTTGGCATGTAAATTTGGAGTATGACTATAAATCGTACCCAGCAGAAACGTGTCAGGAATTAAAGGAAATAGGGCGGTTTTGCAATGTCTACAGCACCTGTGACAGCAGGAACTAAAACATTAAGGCCAAGGGCACGAGTGTCAAGATGAAACGTGTGTGTGTGTGTCATGGAGATTGCTGGAAGTGAATGTGTGTCTGTGTTTCGTATCTCAGCAGTATATCACTCCGTATAACTCCTGCTGAAGGTTTTACTGGGGAGGATACTGGCCTGTGATCACAGAAGCAGGTTTAAGCACAGCATCGAGCCGGGTCAAAGGCATTAAAACTACGATACGAGGACTTTGTCTCTCTGTGGCCCCTCCACACAGCACTGGGGTCTGGCTGTGGGTTTAGAGAAAGAAAGAGAGGGTCTGGAACCTTCAACACAGGATCTTTCTCACATCTCAAATATGAGCTGGCCTGCCGGTGACCCACCATCCTCTGGGAAATTATATTTAGTTGTAAAAAGAGGGTAGTGAACAGCATGGAAAAAGCGTAGAGGGATGAAGATGGAAAAGAGAACGAGAGGGGGTGAGAACAGTCCTGTTTAGGGCTATTAAGTGCTGGGAATCGATAACAGGCACTTATTCCGATTTTTGGAATAAAACAGGAAGGATTTGCATGACGTTTGATTACATTTGGTTCTAGAATGCCTGGATTATTCCACCTACATGTATGTAACATCATAATAAAATAGGCTGCATACTTAAATATTAGACCATAAAGCGTTGATATTGTCATGAAGATTGTCATGCATGCTTCTTTTTTCATGTCAGCCCTGTCCAAGAATCAACAATTAAAATGTGTAAGAGCAACTCTTTGCCACTTAAGCACTCAAAAATTAATCACAGTATAGTTTATTATTTATTAAGTGTTTGCATCAATTTGGTATTATTTATTTTTTTATCATATTTTTAAAATGTATTTTTTCAAATTCCTTAGAATCAGCATACTGTACATTTTTTATTGTTAAAATAAATAAATGTAATTCATTAAAAAGTATGAACATGGTTAAAATGTGGCCAGCTGTGGAACAAGCTATTCAAAAATGTATGAGACTGGTAAATATATGTAAAACAAATTTGTAATTTTTAGTACTATTGCATAAATCTCTTTCTTGCTTGTTTTATTTATGTATGACGGATATGAATATGCATTGCATATTCAAGTTTATTAGGTTATGTTAAAACTAATGCAAATGGATGGAATTTAATTGCATATGCAATTGAACTACATCTTTTAAATTTTATACATAGGCCTACATTTTTGTGTGTGTGTGCTGCCTTCATATGGTTTAGACAAAATCAATTCAAGGTGTAAGTTTTTAAGACAACTTGTTTTCCCAGAATTGTCAAGGAACCAAAATCAGATTTGGAACCAGAATCAATAAATTCTTTGTAATTTCCATCCCATAGTTGTTGTTTTCTCAGCTATGTGGGATATGAAGCATCCTTTCTGTTATTGCAACCAGATATTGTTTTACTTTGATTCGATAAACATTCACACAAACGCGCAATCCCTATTTTCTCTCCTATCATTCTTTGTTGTCTTTTACGAGGTGAAGTGTGGGGTGATATTTTAAGATAGGCGCCACACGTGAGGTTGTGTGTTGCAGGTGTTTTGGGCAGCTGGGCGGTAGGGAGTCATTTTGTGCTGTGGGAAAGACGGGAGAAAGAAAGGAGGAAAAGAAAAGCAGGAAGGGAAACAAAAATAAAACAAATGCATCATAGCAAGACTAATGTTTACTTGAGACGTGGGACTAAAGGATTTTTCCAAAAGCAGGAAACTGCATGTTTCTACTAGAATTGCAACTATCCTGTGACAATTGTGCTGTGATTTGACCTTCTGCGGTCATACCTCCCCAAATGTGTCTTCAACTCTCTTTCTCTCTCACACACACACTTCTGTTGGGATTAATTGTTGTGGAGATGGATCAATATAAGGATATGCTGATCTACCACTCCAGAGTCAGGTCTTGGCCCCCTGTCTATTCATCACAGCTAATAAAGACTAGGGACACACATGGCACAAGGTTACAATGACCTCTGTCTCGGCACTATGAACTTTCATCCACAGATCCATTCCTACACTCTTTACACGCTGCACAACACAGTGACTTAAATAAACAACTGAATTATCTTTATCTTAGCAGATAGCATAAATACACTCCATCAGAGAGTTTAAAAGATATCTGAAAGATGAGTGTATTTATGTGTTTCTAAAGTCAAAAAAGGGAAACATGACACCCAAGAGATGAATCCACCAGTGAAGGTCACTTCTTGACAGTTCTGCTGTGTTTTGTATCTCCACTTTCTGATCTGGGCCATTTTCACGATTACCAACAGAACTGTTTGAGTTCTCGGCCTCTCTGTTACAACACATTGTTTAGTTATACGATCTTCAGATTTATACAACATCTACTTTTTCTAAGCATTATGGGGTTGAGAGTTACTGTAAATCTGTTTCTGGAGTGTGTCCAATCATAAAAAAGCCTTTGATCTCAAAAGACGTTTTTATGAAAGAGAAAATATGAATGGAATACCCAGGCTATGCATTACATTGATGCTGAAAATGTTTAAAACACTGCACTACCACATTTTATGGTACAATTTATTTTGGTGAATCAGTTTGATTGCATTTTATGCAAACAAGCAATTCATGACCCTATGCACTGCTTTCTTTTATAGAAAAATCTGGGAAAACCCATCGGATGTCGCGCTGGTCTGTTTTCAATAAAGTCTAAATATAGATTGAATGTCAGTTTTTTGTCAAAATTGTTTTTTTATTAAATTATTATTCTATAAAATCTTGTTTATCATCTCTGAATACTGCATATATCTTGGTAAAATTCACTAGTTTAGTGCAGAAAAATAGTGATATACAGTATAATGTCCAGCTGAAAAGACTGTGTTTCTCTTTAAGAACACGCAGGCGGAGCAGAGGGCCAAAAAACAATATCTCCCGTTTAGCTCTCCTTCTCTTAACACTACAAAGACAGTTCACCTATCAAAATAAACAATATAACAGAATAAAGTCCAGTCCTGGGTGAACTACAACAGCCCACAAGTTTGTATTTATTTATTTTTATCCAGTGTTATCGTGTGGTGTGATGCGGAGCACAAGAGAACAACAGAGTCTGAAACTGCTCGTTTAAAAGATCTTGCTCGCCTCTCAATCGTCCAATTTCAAAATGGTTTTCACAGGTTGAATTTTGAGTTCATAAGCTTTTGAATGAGATCTAATCTATGATGATTACTAAAATATGTGATATGAAAAAAGGCAATAAAAAAAGCAGCGCCAGTCGTCGCGCTAACAGGACGTGACCGTTAATTAAACCTGTTTTTCTCAAAATTCCATTTCTGAAAATCATAGCGATCAGATAACAATAACTTTTTTTACAGACAAACAATAAAAGAAATAAAAACAGATTTGGAAAGGGCTTGAACCCAGCTTTAATATGGTCTCAAAACCTGTAATATATCAAATTTCACCATGTGGTGGGTTTTCCCTGATCGCATCACAAATGCTGCGGTTTGTAAAGAAAATATTTAATTTTATAAAATCTTGTTCTAAATTAGGTTCAATTTAATGCTTTCACTCTTATGTAGAATTTTTTTAGATATATTGTATATTCTAATTGCAGAATTAAATGACATAATTTGTTTAATGTATGCAGATAGTCTTCTAGATTCAATGTAGTTTTATATTTTTTAATGATGTTTTTAACTTTGTAGTGTTGCTAACTAAACAACTGTCATTCTAGATATAACTAGTAGAGTGGGTGAATCAAACACACACACATACACACACGAGTGGCAGATGTATGTTGGTGATACCTCTTGACGGTGGTCCATTCCTGGCTTCAGTACGAACCAGCGTATTAAGGCCTGCTGGGATTTAGAAACGCACTCAAGAAAAGAGGAGTTGCTCTCAACTCCGTACAACACCTTTTCCTCGACATTCCTCCCAAACACTGCCAGAGAGAGAGAGAGAGAGAGAGAGAGAGAGAGGGCGATCAGCATATCAAAAATACAGTAAAGGTATTTTTTGGGTTAGCGTTGTCCATTAGTTGAGCCCCACAGGACAATGCGGCATCTTAAAACAAAACATAGCTTTTAGTGCTTTTATGCTTTATATGCTTACACACACGTTGGTTTTCATGTTTTATGGGGACTTGCCATAGACATTATGATTTGTTTAATACAGTGCATATTGTATATTCTATTCCCTAACCCTATACCTACCCAAAAGAATAAACACAACGATATTGTATGCTGGTGTGGATGCTAATATAGTTATCTTTATAGTTGTCGTTCTTGGTGTGAACGTGCCTTTAGTATGAATTATAAGCTGTTTTCCTCATGGGGACCAAAAATATTTCCATCTTTGTGGGGAAATTTTGTCCCCATAAAATAGGACCACACACTCCCTCTCTCACACACACACACTCGTATGCTTCCTTACCATCCTCTGTGTCCCAACAATGGCTGGATGGATCTCCATGTTTAATGTCCTGCCTTCTGGCCCTCCTGTAAGCAGTGAGCACATGTGGAAAAAAATCTTTTATTTAGATTCTGATTTATTTTTATTACATTTCCGACTCCGATTTATCAATATCCAAATGTAATTGCCACAGAGCTGCTGATGACTTCTATTCAGTGAAAGTAGTCTAATCTCAATTAATGTTGCATCATGACGTCACATGTGACGGCATATACGAAAGTGTGCCTTGTGCGCTCCGGGACTGTCATTAAGGCGAGGATGGCTTTGGGAACGAGGCCCTGACGGATAGTGGCATTCAGAATCACAGATTATTCTTTTTGGAAGTATGACCAACATAAGAATCTGCACCAGAAAATATCATCTGAGGCCCCGTCCACACTACTGCATTTTTGTTTAAAAACAGAGACCTTTTGCTATGTTTGCACCTCCCGTCCAGACTAAAACGGGAAAAACGAAGACCTAAAACGGAGAAGTTTAGAAACGCTGCAGCTCCGTTTTTCGTTTTGAATCTCCGGAGGGCATTTTAGTGTGGACGAGACAAAACGGTGGAGTTTAGAAACACTGACGCAGAGGTTGAAGATTGAGTGTTATCAGTCATGACGTATCCTTCCCTGATTCGCCAGCCACTGTTTACACCGGCACGCGCATGCCCAGTGTTGGTGAATGGTCACGTGATCCGCTTTTTCAGTCGTTTTAATGTGGACGGAGATCATTTCTAATACGCAGATAAAACGCTGGTGTGGACGGAGATCGTATTCGTTTTAATTCTCCGTTTTTAAACGAAAACGCAGTAGTGTGGACGGGGCCTGAACAAGTAAGAAACATCATGTTTAGTTATTGGTCTGACATTCGGACTTTCAGGTGTGAAAACGCCCTAAAGCGTCATGGAACCTTTACAAATTGTTGTGGATATCATGTAGTCAAAAAGGTTGAGAACCACTGGAATTAATTAATACATTTAATGAATTAATTGATCGTAAATCAAGGCAGTGAGATCAGTTACCTCAATACCCCTGCAAGCATAACTGGCTAATGTTGTTTAACCATTGTGCATCCTTATGGACATTTTTGTCCTTTTCAGTTTCGTTTTTTTGATCACTTTGCCTGTGTTAAAGCTAACTGCAAAAAACTTGGCACAGGTGTGTATTTTTATTGGAATTTTACTATTTCACCGTCATTTTCTTAAAAAAAATATTTTTTGCATTAGGTACAAAAAATACTCCCTCTCAGCACCTTTTGGACAAAAATGTCCCCATTGAAACCCATTAAAACTGCCATTTTTAATCCCCGGTTCAGTTAACTATAAAATTATGCAATCTTTGTTAAGAGGCTTTCATTCTGATGGCAAGGCTTCAAAATTTTATTTTTTACTATTTTTTATCAGATGTTGCCATTTTTTTTAAGTTTGGCCAATAAAACAAATATCGCTTTATTCCTGTTTTCTGCTTCGGCATATTATAGAGCCAACTGGATAAATTATGCAACAATATTTGTGTGGGTGTGTTGGTATGAATGTCAGAGTGTGGTTAGTATGTGTGTTACAAAAAAAAAATATGTGTGTGTGTGCGCATGTGTGTGTTTGTAATACTGAGAGAGAAAAACTGCAAATTCCAACCCAATCACTGTGAGCTCCAGTGGGGTTTTGCTGGCACCCAATGGGGAAAATATGTTACTACGCCCAAACAAACTGTTACCGAAAGCTCATTTTTTGAGATATCATCCTCAAATTTGGAACACAACCTATTTAGATTTATGGCTTTGATTTTATTGCAGTTTTGAGTTCAACCTGATTTAAAAAAAATATATATTGTATATAAAATATTTTTTATAAATAATTTTCATAAACTTATACCTATATAACTTTTTTTGGATTTACTTATTATTATTATTTTTTTTTTACTTCAGCAATAATCTGCAAAGGGTCTTCTTTAAAATGATACCAAACTTAAGTCTGTGCTCCAAAGCGTCACGTTTTTATGACAGTTTTTTGACATGGACATTTTTGTCCTCTTTTTACCTATGTGTAACTTTTTTAAATTGATGCACAAGGGTTAATCTTATATTTAATGTTCATAGCAATGTTCAATAGACATTAAGACTACTGTAAAGTATTTTATTTAATTTCAAACACAAAATCAGTACTGACACCATTTTTTTATGAAAACACCCTCAGCTCTCTCCGTAATACAACAAACTTTGAATCTTAATGAAACCACAAAGTGTTTTTCAAACAGAGACATCTGATAGCCAAACAATCTCCAAAACTAAAATTCCCATCCTCTCTCTCTCTCTCTCTCTCTCTCTCTCCAGGACTGACCTGGCCTCCTTGCGGCTGTGGCGGACCGGAGAGCCGGGGAGAGAAAGGGCAAGAAAACTTCTATGGCAGCTCACATACATCATCTCAACAACAAAGCAACTTTAATCAATTTGCCTGTCCAGTCCAGTCCCACTACACCCTATGGCACAGGAAAAATCAAATATTTATCATTTTCTTCTCTGTGCTGAACTCCAGGAAACAACTCACCCAGGAGAAGTAGGTCAGAAAGAGAGCACCACAAAGCCCTCTCTATCTTTCCACTTTCTACTATCCCAAAGACCAGAGCACCAAACTGCGCACGGTGCACATCTCAGGGATATCATAGGACACACGTAGCGTTGCATTGTTGTGACCGTTAAACAGAAGTGCTGACTGTGTGAATCAATATCAAGGCTTTGCATCGACTCTTCTTTGGGACAATGACTTTGTCGGCTCATGTGCATGTGTGTTTGTGTGGTACCTCTTAGAGGCTGGAACGTATCTGGAGCACTGGATGCCGTCCCAAGCGCAGTAGGGGTCTCTAGCCAGGCAGCATTCTGCACAGCCCTGCCCATAAATATGGCACCTGTGCAGGGACACCTGCACTAACCCGTCGCTTCCTCCAACAAACAGCTGCTGCTGCACACACATACACACACACACACATACAAAGTAATAAACCAGATGCAATGACAAAAAAAAGTGCTTACTGGAACAATCTCTCTAATAGAGTTATCAGTAAATGTCATTTGTTTGCAGTGTCTATTTTTTCCCAACAAACTCTAAAAAAAGAAGCACGTGTACATGTGACGAAACTAACCCTAAACACAACAACAGGCACAATAAAATGTGTGGTGCTCTTGCTTTTCTTGCACAAGTCTGAAAATAAACAGGCAGTCAGGGTAGACCTTTCCATATATCACCCTTGTAAATGCAAATTTTTTAAACCATTTGATATTATCGGTAGTCTATTATCCTCTGCTATTAAAATAAAAAAGGCCATAAAAATAAACAGTTACAAAAACAATTGGCCTAGTATCCCGCTGACGTAGCCATGCGGTTCTATCTTTGTGCAGAGAAAGGATAAAAGCTTTTGGGCGAACTCTTAAGCTAACCATGAGCTCCAAAAAATAATAAGATATAATTAGACAAGGAACGGCACAAGAACAGAAGAAACAGACTTATCCGCAAGACTTTGATAAACCAGAACAATGGAGGTCCAAACAAATCTATTTTGAGACAGAGACTACCAGTAGCTAAAAAATATGACAAATAGTCCTGTGGAACCTCTGAGATTAAAACAGCTTACCAATGAATCCTGTCAGTCATTTATTTGTTTAATTTATGAGTTATTTATTTTCTTATTCATTCCCAAGCAAAAGGTTTACTTTACCCTAGAACCAAGTTTAAACTTCTGTTCTTACCTGCTTTGAGGAGATTTCCATGTTGAGGATGGGTGATGGACTCTGAGAGAAAAAATAAAGACATTCCCAGGTGAACTTGTTTTGTTTATTAATTTCCATTCATCCATAAATGCTTCATATTTGAATGGTTGTGACTTTTACCTTGAACACCTGAAGCTCCTCTAAGATGATCTGCTCTGTGGACCAGTTTTCTTGAGTGATGCTGACAACCTTCAAAACTGATCCCATATCTGTACAGACAAACATGCACACATTTGTCTCTTCAATAGATAAGCTCTACTGCCATCTGCTGGTTGATCGAAATAAGGTATTTAGAACAAGCCTATGTTTGGCAAAATGTGGTTATTCAAATAAAATACACCATCACAGACATCCCAAGTCTCCTGGAAGTTCCGGGAGTCTCCTGCATATTGATAGCGGCCCGCAAGTTAGTTAAAATCTCCCGGAACGGGAAGCGGTGATATTCGGGATACCTCCTTGAAATGACTTTTTGCATGTTTGGGATGTCTGCCATTATATGTGGTTGTTGCATATCATACCTGTGCCCAAAAACATAACAGCATACTGTCCGTCCTCAGCTGCCACACGGTCCACTACAATCCGAGTGAGCCGGAACTCTGTATTGATACGAGTGAAAATTGGTCGGCCCGTCATTGGGTGCACGGAGTGGTACATGAGCGGGTGCAATCGTATAAAACTGATGACCTCATCTGGAAAGTCTTTAGTCGTTTTTATATGAGGATCATATGTCCGACTGGGGCACTACGAAAGAAAGGAAAATGTATAGTTATACATTTAGTATATATAACAGCATAAATTGCTGGAAGTAATAACAAATATGCAATCATATGAAGTGATGAAACTGCCTTTGGTATTATCATGAATGTTGTGTTTGTGCAACAGTGTTTTGAAATATGTAAGGTAAGGTAAAAGGGATATTGTGTTATGTCTCCCTCTAGTGGTAATGCATAAAACTCCTGTGTCAAAGTGGCAATGACTGAAAGGGGGTTTAAAAAGAGAGAGAGAGAGAGAGAGAGAGAGAGAGAGAGAGAGAGAGAGAGAGAGAGAGAGAGAGAGAGAGAGAGAGAATAAAATTGTAAGAGTGCTACTAACAGTGCCCGGTCGTGGGTAGGGTATTCTGTCTTCATATTCCACCCAGCGATGGTCTGGTCCCTCTTTATGAGCATACGGTCCATTAAACACTGCACGGATATCTTCCATTTTATAGACACACACCGCGGATCCTTTAAAGATAGAACTGACCCAAAATAAAAAAAAAAAAAAAAATTAAAGCTGCAAGCAGCATTTTGCGGGGTTCAAGCAGTTTAGGCCTTTAAGGCCTTTAAGCACAAAAGCATCAAAAGACATTAAGTTTTATGTAGCAAGCATTATTTACCATGATAAACCATATTTCAATGTGATTTTTCATGATTTACCATGTTCTAGTATGATTTAACATGAATCTAACATGATTTTCCATAATTTACCTTGATATACCATGTTATAGGATGGTTTACCACAATATAGCAAGTGAAAAGACTATTAATAAGAAAAGTGGCCAGCAGAGGGCAGTAGAAGACCACTTATTGGCACACTTCCATTTTGAAATACTTTGTTTCTCCAATATTCTGCACTAAAGCAAACCATTTTTTTCATGTTAACTTCATAAAGCATGCTTACACACAAACGCACGCACACACACACATTTATAGTGTGTACAGTATATGTATAGTATGACTGCAAAACATTAACAAAAAGAAATTTGTTAAATAAATTAACTATGCAAAATATAGTGTGTACTAGGGGTGGAGCCGAATACGGTATTCGGAAAGGCACAAATAATGTGTTTTTTACGAATACTTATTCCGAACAAATACTTAAAAAATATTTGTGTTCGGGAACAAGAAATACTGTATGTCAAAAAGCTGCGTTCCTCACGAGACCGCAGTGCGCGAGTTGAGTGAGCGACGTTCAGGAAGAGGTGACTGACACAGGCTGCTCCACACAGCAACAGAGAGGGCTCGGCTGAGCGAAAAAACACTTAACTGCATCACTATTTTTGTTGAATAGATGTTTGTACCTTAACTAGGTTCCAGAGGCAGTTTATAACTTTCGGGAAGCGGAGTTTGATCGGGAGTATATTCCATTATTGACGTCTGCAGACGGGTGCTCTGCTGTTCGCTCTGTTTACGTAGCTCTGTTAGCTCGGTAACGGTAATTATTTGTTTCTTATATGGCTTGGTTGAATTCTAATGTAGAGTGCGGTCTGTTATTAGAACAGGCCGCTGCTTATAAGTATAACACACCGTTGCCATGAAAAACAGAGCGTTGCCATGGATTCTAAACGTAGAGACAGAACGGACTTTTTCTTTTTTATCGGCAATCGTTTTTTAAATCAATAAACTCCTGTTTATATCTATATTTTGAGTCAAATTACTGATTTACTTGGTAGGTAGCAATGTAATAAGCAGGGTAATGTAGAGCGAGGCGGTTGTTATAGCGAATACAAACCCGCAGGCTTTGCGTAATCCCTAACTTATTCTGTCTGTTAAGCGTCCTCCACCGTGGTGTTGGTGTTCATAATGTTCACAATTGTATTTTATTAGTTGTTGGTTTAACCATGGTTCATGAGGTAATGGCTGACTATTATTTTCTTCTCAATGACTTTTCTTGTTACATGTTCATTGCTGGATTTATAGAAAAACATCAACCAATATTGCATACCCATAATTATTATAATGGATATAATTAAAGAATTCATACACTATAAAGTAATAACTGTGGGTGTCTTCATGAATTACGTGAGTACATCAATTAATTTGATTGTGTTTACATTGTTTATGCTTTTTTATGATTTAATGGCACTGTCAGCCTGTGCACTGCTAATTGATTAATTTGTTTGCCAGACATGTGCCCTGAGCCATGTTGAAAGATTGTTTGTTTCAATGATTTTTTTACAGCCTGTTTTATTGTGATTAGTACTCATATCTTTGTTCATTTATATCATTGTTCCTTTTGTGTTGATTGATCACTGTCACCAATTGTATTATTTCTTTATCTCCTTATGCAACAACACACAAACAATGCATTGATCCAAAATCAACAGGCATGATGCAATAAATTAAGACTGGTGTTGGAAAAAAACTAGTTTTCTTCCTGCCTCATTCATTGTTCCATATCATTTGACATTTTCTGACTCTATTGTAAAGTGTCACCAAAAATGCCTAATTCTGCTTTTCTATCTAGTGGACAACAGTGCTATTACAGCTAACTTATACAGTATGCCATGAATCTAGCATGATTTACCATAGTCAGGGATGTAGTGGAGGCTAAATGCACATAAACGCCGTTTACGCACCTCCCAATATTCGGAAATAGCGTTTACCCACCTCCAAAGTGCATTTATCCACCTCTCAATTGCGTTTATCCACCTCTAAATATCCTGCATGTGGTTCCTAAGACATTTTAAATTAAGCTTGTGTCGTTTTAGTTATATATTGTTCATTATTAGTTCATAGGTTGTTAAACCTAAGACGAACTCTTTCATAATGCGCTGCATTACTGTGTTGTTGACTATTACTGACGGTAAGGTTGCACTGTTGACCCTCGCGCAGCCTCTCGAGCAGAAATCTACACAAATGAGCGCAGAACACACTCAGACCCCATTTACACCTGGTATTAAAATGCGATCTGTATCCAGATAAGTTATCCGGATAATAAAAAACGCATGTTAATGCAAGGTGTAAACGCGTTGTGATCGGATCGCGATTGGATCTGCCTGACCACATCTGCAGGTAGTCTGGCTCGCATTGTGTCCGGATCTTTACTAGGTGTAAACGCAATCTGGTTGTTAACCACATATGTATATTTTACTCCTCCCAAAAAGGCAAAAAAATAAACGAGTGAGCTTGTTATATAGGCTATATATGTCATGTTATTGTCAGATATGACGGCGCTACTGCGACACGGATCATCACCCATCACCGCAGATGAGCAGCTGAGCGTCTATTCATCGAGCCAACGTGCAAACATCGCAAATAAAAGTGAAAGTAACTCACAGACGCTTAACACACAATCATCTTCAAGTAAAGAAACGAAATTATCTTACCAGCGCTGTTGCCACTCTTTTATTGATGTTGCTTTTGGTGGCGTGCAATCCATTAAATCTGCATACGCGGGAGTTTAGGATCGGATTTATATCCGTTTTGCAAAAACACATTTATGTGGCCAGGTGTAAATGGAATCGGTACTTATTATCCGGATAACTTATCTGGATATAGATCGCATTTTAATACCAGGTGTAAATGGGGTCTCTTATTTTTCCTGAACACCATCACGATTGAAAATGTGACATTGATTTCCTACAACAGTTCAATAAACAGTAAAAAATTAAATCACTTACATTTTAGATGCTATATTGGCTGTTTTTGTTCTGTTTCAGCAGCGAAAATAGTTCCAAACAATAATCACAGCAGAACCACGGCACATGTCACAGGAACACTCGACGTGTTTACTGAATGATTCAGCATTTTGAACGAATCGATTGAGTCAAAGATTCAAAGACCCATTCAAAAACATCGGTCTCATTCTTGAATGATCAGCCGTTTGAACGAATCGTTTGAATGAATGAATCAATGACTCACTCATTAAGACGGTCGCCTGCCACCACCTACTGGCGGTTTAGTGTTAAATGTTTAAAAGTAGTATCATTCTTTCCCAGTTTCTTATGTAAATTTAAATAAATGTCATAACATTATTTTATGCAATTGTGATTTTTTAGTGTAAATGATTTAATTTGATCAGCCCCTAGGGTAATAGCCCATAGTGTCTTATTATTCGAAATATTTTAATTTATTTATCAAATTTAACACGTCGTGGTCCACCAGAATTTATAGTTTACCCACCTCTTTTTTTACCACTACACCTCTGACCATAGTGTACATTAATTTACCATGTTCTAGCATGATTTATCATTATTTACAGTGATTGGGGCTTGGATGATTGGATTTTAATGTGATTCTAGGAATATAGTATAGCTATTTACCACGTTAATAGCAATTATGTGAAGATTCAGAACAACTGAAGTGATAAACTTTGAAAAAAAAAATGATTGTGTTCAATATTTGACTAAATGTGATTGCAAATGTTAAAATAGATCATTAATAAAGTCATAATATTAATTATAGTTGAGTTGTGAGACACTTACTATTTTGAACAGCAGAGGGGAGTAAAACACCACTTATTGGCTTAATAGACCATCATTTTGATATCATTTCACCTTTTTTAACTGTTATTTAGGCATATTTTGTCAGATCTGTCTGAAAATGTTCATGATTATTTAATGTCACGTGTTCTGACTTGTTTATTGAAGAAATCAACGCTTTCAGGGACACTGAAAGTGTAGTAATAGATGGCTTCAACACAGTACATGTTGAAGCCATCCTATTATAGCCATCCACATGAAGTAGTTCAACTTTTTCTTATAATTATTGATCTAGAGAGTCCAGAGAATTGTACTGCACTGGTTTTAACATTATGATATGATCAGAGATGTACACACACACACACACACACACACACACACACACACACACACACACACACACACACACCTTTGGGATATTTCTTTGTAATCTAATGTTATAAAACTGTTAAAAACAGTGACAACAGTGGTAGGTATTCATATCATTTATCTACAACTGAATGAGTGTGTGTAGATTTTAATTCAATATGACAGTTGTCATAGTACTTTTTGACTAAATGTGATTGTAAATGTTAAATTAGTGAATTGATAGTCATAATATGAATTATATATGACAACTTACTATTTTGAACAGCAGGTGGCAGTAAAACTCCACTTATTGGCTTAACAGACCATCATTTTCACCTTTTTAACTGTTATTTAGGCATATTTTGTCCGATCTGTCTGAAAATGTTCATGATTATTTAATGTCACGTGTTCTGACTTGTTTATTGAAGAGATCAACGCTTTCAGGGACACTGAAAGTTAATAGATGGCTTCAACACACTAAATGTTGAAGCCATCCTATTATAGTCATCCACATGACGTAGTTCAACTTTTTGTTATAATTATTGATCTAGAGAGTCCAGAGAATTGTACTGCACTGGTTTTAACATTATGATATGATCAGAGATGGAAAACACCATTTACAGCCAATACTGGCAATTTACCATTGGAAATGCATGGTTTTAAAGCTTTTTAACAGTTATAGCGCCACCTATGGTCCGATCTCCATGAAACTGTG